TATATTCCTCAATAATAAAATTAACATTTTGGTGATACATTTTTTTTGGGGGAGGGGCTTCCCAATAGCTCTGTTGGTAAAGAATCTGCCTGCAATGCAGGAGACCCTGGTTCAATTCCTGGGTCAGGAAGATCCACTGGAGAAGGGATAGGCTACTCACTTCAGTATTCTTGGGCTTCCCTTCTGGCTCAGCTGGTAAAGAATCTGCCTGCAATGCAGGAGACCTGGGTTCAATCCTTGGGTTAGGAAGATCCCCAGGAGAAGGGAAAGGTTACCCACTCCAGTATTCTGGCCTGAAGAATTCCATGGACTGTATCGTCCATGGGGTAACAAAGAGGCGCACACGATTGAGCAACTTTCACTTCACTTCACTTTATTTTTTTTAGTTGAAACTAAAAGATATTTTTAACTAATAAAATGAGAGTGATCTTTTAAAAATATTCAAAGAAACTTTTATTATCCAATGAAGACACTGAGTTTATCCAAGATTTCATCTAGGAGCAGGGGAAAAGACCCTCATCCACAGAGGAATACTATAAGTGCAATTATGGGAGAAAATAAAGTTCTTCTCTCTTTTGTTTTACAAAGTCTTATTAATTTCAACTTTCTGATTACATTGCCCAAAAAAATAATGAATAAACAATCTATAATATAAATCAAAAAGAATTTTGTTTGAGTCACGCTGAAAACAATATCTTGGAAGACAGCTTCACAGATAACTTGGAGGAACTGCTCTAGAGAAGCGTGGTTTTCAGCACAGTCTTATATCTTTTCAGCACAAAGGACACCAAACATGTCAGGGATACACTCCTTCAAGATTCAAAAAACAAAACAGATGAGCATGTTCACAGCGCCTGAGTAAGGCCTTGGCACCAAGGAAGGAAGTCTTATCGAAGGAGCTGGTACACTGGCATCTCAGGAAGAGAGGCATTTAATCTTTATCTTTAAAATGGACATTCTTTACTTCTGGTCTTTGAATCTTTTCCCATAATAACTGAAGCAGATGTGCAGTGTACATTTGATAGGTCACAGACAGCCTGTTTTAGTTAGCATAGAATTTGAGTTAAATCATGTATAAGCCAGAATGACTTCCCCATACCTCAATATGTGAAAATCTCTTTCAATATACTCCTACAATTTTGTCTCAGAAATAATGATAACCTTGTCTCTCCCTTTCCAGTGTTGCTTGTGCCTGTAATTATTCATCCAACAAGTACAGCTCCACATTCCTGAGGGCACACACTTTAGACACTGATCATCAAAAACCTAACATCTAGTAACACAAAGACCCACAACACACTTCTCATAGAAAGCAAGAGCCAGAAGTGTTGGCTTATCAAAACCATCCCCCAAATATAACAGGGCTACAGGAGAAGAAAAATCTTACCTCTAGCCATCTTAGGTTCGCACACAGGTCTCTTTCACAAAAAAAGATTAACAGGACAAAAACAATTTATTAACTTGTGTGTACCTGTCATATGGGAAAACTCTAACAAGAGCAATTCAAAGTGTGGGTTAGAACTCCATATTATGTGGTATCTTCAACAAAGAACATAAATTTATTGAGAAATGACAGGATAAAGAAAAGCAGCCTTGAGCTTCCATGGGTGGCAATGGGAGGAAACTAATGGAGTAAAATTTATTTGCACATTTGCAGTCTATGGGCTAAGAGTCTAGAGTTGTCTCCTGTAAAGGAGAATTTGTATCCTGCCTTTAGGCAGAAATGGGTGAGGGCGGAGAGAGTTTTTCCTGCATTTGATGGCTCTAAATTGCCCTCAACTCAAAACTGTTTTTATATCAAAAAGGCACACGTTGGAGTGACATACTTGGTTTACCTTCAAGGCACAGTCTTCACATAATCACACATAATCACACATAAGTCTTCACAAAAGTCTTCACACATAATCTCAGGCACTTCACAAGGAAGTAGCTGTACCGGAGCAAATTTTGCCACCCAAAATATGTCTCTTTGATGGAGAAGGAAATGGCAACCCACTCTAGTATTCTTGCCTAGAGAATCCCATGGATGGAGGAGCCTGGTGGGCTACAGTCCACGGGGTCGCAAAGAGTCAGATACGACTTCACTTTCACTTTCACCCCTCAGCTGAGACTTTTAGCTCTTGTGTTTGCTATTGATTGATTGTTTTCTTGAGTTCTCAAAGACCTGTGGCCATATATTTTTTTAAGTTGCCTGTTTTCTAATTGCATCACTTTACACACTGTTGTCTAATAATATGTGGTATTTAGAATACTTTGGTATTTGCTTACCAAATGTTTGCTTTTCCATCTCTGGCTGAATTGTCTTCCTCCTCTTTGAATTCCCAAACCACAACTCCCAACATCCTCTTTTGTCTTTAGCTATTTTGGCAAGTAACTCAGCTTTCCTGGATCTCTCCCAAGTATACATGTTATTAAAGTTTTGTCTGATTTATTCTGCTAACCTGTCTCATGTCAACTTAATTCTTAGACTGTAAGCAGATAGGGTAGTGGGTTACTGGAGAAAGAGAACCAGGAATGCTTTTCCTGACATATATGCGTGTATGTACTAAATTGCTTCAGTTGTGTCCAACTCTTTTTGACCCTATAGACTGTAGCCCACCAGCCTCCTCTGTCCTTGGGATTCTCCAGGAAAGAATTCAGAGAAGCCATTTTGGTCCAGCCTATTTTTTGACTGTGTCAGGGCTTAGTCGTGACACCTGGGATTTTGTTGGGGCATGCCTCTCTCTAGTTGTGGGATGGGGGCTCCAGAGTGTGCAGGCTCAGTAGTTGCAGCACATGGGTTTAGATGCTCTGTGGCATATGGGACATAAGTTTCCTGACCAGGGATGGAACTTATGTCCCCTGCATTGGAAGGTGGATTCTCAACCACTGGACCACCAAGGAAGTCCCAGCCTAAGCCATTTTGTGATCTCCTTGCCGTTAAACAGACTCAGTAATAAATGATCTTAAGGCAACAAAGGAACATAGGAACAGAGAAAAGGCAGTCAAACAATAGTGCAGTCATAAAACAAACTCCTATTTCCTCTTCAAGGGATATACAGAGTAACATATCTCTGAGTTCTGCAGAAACTAAGGCCACACCACCTGAGGAGGAGGAGGACAGAAAGATGATGTTGACTTTTTCAGACTTAAGTCAACTAAAGCTAGGATTCTAGAATTATCCCAGTTCAATGTTGAATTCTCCTCTGCTCAAGCCCCTTCATGAATAGGCATGTGCCCTTAACTTAAATCTTCCCAATTTCTCTATTTGAGGAGACACTGCTTTGGGAAAGATCCCAGTGTTCTCCTTAATGCTGCAGGTAATAATTCCTCCTTCTAATCTTTGGCCTAGTTGTGTCTTTTGGCTCAACACCAAAAGAGGGATACCCAGTTTTCAAGTAACAAGAGACAAAAGAACCTGGAAGCTTAAGAGGAAAATTCCCTCCTCTTCAACACTACCAGACACTCCTAAACCTGGTTTCACAGTGCAGCATAATAGCATGCGACCTGTTGTCAAATGCAGGTTGGTGCCCAACCCATAGTGAAGCCAAACAAATCAAGAGATTGAAACAGAGAATGGTTTACTTCAGGGTCAAGCAAGTAGCAGTTTCCCTGGTAGCTCAGCTGGTAAAGAATCTGCCTGTAATGCAGGAGACTCTGGTTTGATCCCTGGGTCAGGAAAATCCCCTGGAGAAGGGAAAGGCTACCCACTCCAGTATTCTGGCCTAGAGAATTCCATGAACTGTATAGTCTCCATGGGGTTGCAGAGTTGGACATGACTGAGTGACTTTCACTTTTCAAGCAAGTAGAACAGGTGGCTCATCCTCCAAAGCCCCAAACTCCCCAATGGTTTTCCAGGAGAAGTTTTCAAAGGCAAAATTTGGGGTGAAGGCTGTGGAGTGTGTGACCTTTTTCTGATTGGTTAATGGTGAGATTACAGGGCAGGGCTCCGGACTTTTGTACCCAGCCTCAAGTTGCCATCCTCCACCGGGGTGTTGTGGGCTTTAGTTCCAGCAGAACTCAGATATATTGCTATGTATATTCCTTGAGGAAAACTAGAACTTCCACTGCTGCACTGTTTGTACTGATCACTGTTGCTTGATCCCCTCTCTTCTGTTTCTACATTTCCCCACTTTTTTGATTAGCAACTGTTTGAATCTGCCTTTTGGAACTCTGGGAAGATGCAGGAGGCTAAAATCAAACAGCTTTTGTATCAAGGAGGGCCGCAGGGGGTCCTGCTTGGTTTCCTTTCTCCCGGAGTCCGTTTCACTCCAGCATCCACGGAGTGGCACATATCCCATGAAACTTAATGCATGAAAACACAACTCCATCCACGATCACAAGGCAGGCACAGAGGGCACCACACCACTGTTAGTCTTTTGGCAAATGTCACAGAGACACGTTTGGGGCACTGGATATAGTAATCAGGGTCACCCTTAAAAATCTAAAGATCTGGACACCCTAGACCAACTGGGAATACTGGCTCCAATCTCTTCGTACCCCTCCTCCCCCAGCCCTCAGCGTGCGTGGCCCCAGGAGCCTCCTCAGCTGCATCAAGAATCCCCGGTCGGAACACCTTCACCTCCACGAGGGACAGAGACAGAACCTTCCAGGAGCTTGAGCGGGGGGCTCTCGCGCCAGGGGCGGAGCTCCGGGTCTGAGCCCTTTGCGGAGCCGAGAACCGAGAGAGAAAAGCAGGAATATAGTTTCTCTGATTTTTGGACTACAGTTCCAACAGGGGAGCAGGTGTGGATTCTGCTCGAGGGCGCGAGTCACTCACAAGGTCACCTTTACAGGCGAGGAGTCGGCCTACGAGGGAACCCTGCTCTTCTTCCAGACCCGGCGGGCATCGTGCCCCAGCAGTCTTCCCGAGCGCTTCAGGAGGAGCCGGGGGACTGCCCCCCAACACCCAGCCACCCCATTCGCGCCTGCGCACTCGGGACCGAGAAGGCACTCTCCGGAATTCCGGCGCCGCGGTCTTGAGCGCTGGGCGGTCCCCGGAGTCTGGCGCAGCCCTAGGGCGGTAAGGCAGGCTCGGTGGTAGCGGCTGCTCTTCTGAAGGAAACAAGCGCGAGACCGGCCAGGTTCTGCGGACCAGATCGAGGTTGGATTTGGGGGCCTCAGGCCGGAGTGAGGGCTTTGCCGTTCTGAGACTGGGCGGCGCGGGGTTAAGCTCGTGCGGCGATAATTGGGCGCCGCCCCGGCCTGTTCCCGGCGGTCCTGCCCGTCGCCTTCCTCGCCCAGACCACCGAGGCCTGGCCGTAGAGGAAAGGCCTGAGAGGGAAACGGGGGTGGAACCTCTGAATGAAAGTCCCCTGCAAGGCGCGGTGGCCGCCCGAGCGTGGGTAGCTGCGGTGTCTGAATTACAGCCGACCCAGAGCGGCGGACCTTCTCCGGTCTTTATCTGTCCATTGTGTTTGCAGGTGGTGGGTAGCGACGGTCAAGGGGGCGTGGACGGTGGGTGTTGACCGAGTCCAGAAACGCCTGCGATGTAATCAACCGGGTTTGCTTCCCGAGCCCTTTCAGTCTCCAGAGGCCTATGAAGTGAAGCAAATCGCCGCTGCATCTCTAAAAGCCACGTTCTTTGTGAGTTTCTGCTGCTTCTTTGTTTGCGTGAAATGCACTTGATTTTTGGGACACGAGATTGTTAAAATTTCCTTCTCTTGAAATGTCCTGTGTAAGAATAATCTACTTACTGATTTTGACTTTAGGATTTACCTACGTCCTGGCAGGGGACCCAGTTTATAGATTCCCCTTTCTGTTGCCCACTTAGCCCAATTCTTTAGTTAGTTATGCTCAGTCAGATTCTTCAGGACCTCATGGACTGCAGCCTGCCAGGCTCCTCTGTCCTTGGAATTTTCCAGGCAAGAATAGTGGAGTGGGTTGCCATTTCCTACACCAGGGGATCTTGCCGACCCAGAGATCGAACTCGTGTCTCTTGCCTTTAGCAGGCAGATTCTTTACCACTGAGCCACCTTAGTTAACCATGTGCTATAAATCCAGTTGCTCTGTGAGCACAGTTTCTAATGATGGAAGTAGTCCTTTGGAAGTTACCGTTTATGTTTTCTTTTCGACTGTGATTTGTTAAGTAGTGTTGGGTTTCAGTTCAGTTCAGTGGCTCAGTCCTGTCTGACTCTTCGCGACCCCGTGGACTGCAGCATGCCAGGCCTCCCTGTCCATCACCAACTCCCGGAGTTTACTCAAACTCGTGTGCATTGAATCAGTGATGCCATCCAACCATCTCATCCTCTGTCGTCCCCTTCTCCTGCCTTCAATCTTTCCCATCATCAGGCTCTTTTCAAATGAGTCAGCTCTTCGCATCAGGTAGCCAAAGTATTGGAGTTTCAGCTTCAACCTCAGTCTTTCCAGTGAACACCCAGGACTGATTTCCTTTAGGATGGACTGGTTGGATCTCCTTGCAGTCCAGGGGACTCTCAAGAGCCTTCTCCAACACCACAGTTCAGAATCATCAATTCTTCAGCGCTCAGCTTTCTTTATAGTCTAACTCTCACATCCATACATGACCACTGGAAAAACCATAGCCTTGACTAGATGGACCTTTGTTGACAAAGTAATGTCTCTTCTTTTTAATATGCTGTCTAGGTTGGTCATAACTTCTTTTCCAAGGAGTAAGTGTTTTTTAATTTCATGGCTATTGGATTGTGTTGGGTTTAGACATCTCTAATTATTCCACAGTAGGAGTTGGGATTTTTTTTTCCCAAAGGGAATCCATGAGTGGAACTTTTTGGTACTAGCCTGATGTGGTTAGAGTTTGGTAGCATGAGTTTTATTTATTTTGGACAAATGAAAAATTGTTTAATGTGTACAGCATAATGTTTTGATATATGTAAACATCATGGAACGGAATACCACACTGACTAATTAACCATTACCTCTCAAGGTTAACTATTTTGTGTATGACAAGAGTACTTAAGATATACTCTTGGCAAACTTCCAGTATGTAATACATTATTATTATCTATAGTAACCATGTTGTGCATGAGGTCTTCAGAGCTTATTATCTTATAAATGAAATTTTGTAGCATGAGTTTGTTTTGGTTATGTCTTGGGGCGATCCCCTGGGGAAGGGAATGGCTACCCACTCCAGTATTCTTGCCTGGAGAATTCCATGGACAGAGGAACCTGGTGGAATACAGTCCGTGGGTGGAAAAAAATCAGACAGGACTGAGCGACTAACACTTTCACTTTTTAGGGATAGAGGAACAGAGATGTATGCAGTGGTTAAGAATTTTGAACCTAGACTAAGAGGATTTTAATCCTGACCATCACTTAAATCTAAGTGAGTTTGGGCACTTGAAGGAAAACTGTGTTGCAGTTTCTTCATATGTAAAATCAGAATTATAATAGTATATGCCTCACAGGGTTGTTTTGAAGGTTACCTGAATTAATATCTGTTGAAGCTCTTAAAACATTACCTAGCATAGTAGAATACTGCTTAATTATATTAGCGGTTACTGTTAGTGATGATTTTTAATCATTCCCTATCAACTTTCTTTATTCCCAAGAATAATGAAAATGTGAAGTTACTTATGATGAATGCAAGCAGAAAAATCAACAGCAAATGGACCAGAATAGGGATTCTTAACATGAAGTCTTTGGGTTCTGTTTATGGGTTTTCAGGACCAGGAAAAAAAACCAAAGATATATAGAGAGAAATATTGTAAATATTTTTCAGTGGTTAATTTGGGAGGGGAATCTGCTTACTTGTAATTTCATGATATCAGAATTGTATGTATAAGACCCAACAAGGTTGATTTTCACTGGTCTAGCGTCAAAGTCTGGAATAAATAGGAATAATTTTGAGGATAATCTTTAAAAACTAGTATCTAACAGTATGGAAATGTTAAGTGATTCACACTCCATCCATATGATGGAATGTTATGGGATAATAAAGATTATAAAGTCATAAGAAGAAACCATATAAAATGTAATATTGGGAAGTATTTATTGTTCTGAATAAAAATTTTTAAGAAATTGTTGTTACCTATGTATCTTGAACACTAAGGTAAGGAATAATAAGATCTTTTGCAAGGATTTAGTAATTGGCTATTCAGGAGGAGTCAACTCAAATGATTGAGCATTTGCTATGAAATAAGCATTTTTTTCTGCCTGCTGTGCATACTATCTCTTGATTTTGGGAAATGTCGTGAATCAGCATTGTGATCCTTCACAGAAGGGTTTCTGGGTGTTAATGAAATACAGTATTCAAGAACTGGTAAGAATTATTTTTTCAGCGACATTGATTTCCCTGCTGTTACCACTTATGCAGGCCTATGTAATCACAGTTTTCTTAATGACTACCCGTCTACCCAAATCATTAAAAAATTATTTTTAATGGGAATAGCTTTTTAAAAATTTCAGATAATGTATTTAATGCAAGCTTGTGAAATATTTAGTAACTAAGGAACCTTAGAGAAGAAAATAAAAATTATAGTCCTCAACAGGACTTCCCAGTGGTAAAGAATCCATCTGCAATTCAGGAGACTTGCAGGAGATGCAGGTTCCATCCCTGGGTTGGGAAGATCCGCTGGAGGAGGAAATGGCAACCCACTCCTGTATTTTTGCCTGGAAAAATCCCATGGACAGAGGAGCCTGGTACACTATAGTCAATAGGGTCATAAAGAATTGGACTTGACTAAGCATACACACACATATTCCCAACATCCAGAAATAATCACTATTCATATTTAGAGCATATGTTCCCAAAAATATTTTAACAAGCATTTGTGGTTTTGTATATAGTTTTATTTCTGAATAGGATAACATTAATTGAAAATTTAAAGGAAAGAAAGACCTCTCTAATTCTTCATTTAAGATAGGAATTCAGGGGTCTTCCCTGGGGGCTCAGTGGTAAGGAGTCTGCTTGCCAATGCAGGAGACATTGGTTCAGTCACTGATCCAGGAAGATCTCACATGCTGTGGAGCAACTTAGCCCATATACAACTGTTAAGCCTGTGCTCTAGAGTCGGGGAGCCACAACTACTGAAGCCCGTGTGCCCTAGAGCCTGTGCTCGGCAACAAGAGAGTAGCCCCTGCTCATAGCAATGATGACCCAGCACAGCCAAAAATAAATAAATAAAATTATAAAAAAAAGAAATTCTTTTTTTTTAAAAAGGGGGAAAAAATTTATTAAAAAGGGGGATTTCGTTTTTTTCTTGGTTTTTTTAACATTTTTTTGATTTTATATTTTTTTTAAACTTATTTTTTTTTCTTTCAGTGTGTCTTGGATGTTTTCCATTCCTTAAGTTTTCTAAAACTCAGCATTTAATGATTACTTTATGGAGAAGGCAATGGCACCCCACTCCAGTACTCTTGCCTGGAAAATCCCATGGAAGGAGGAGCCTGGTAGGCTACAGTCCATGGGGTCGCTAAGAGTAGGACACGACTGAGCGACTTCACTTTCACTCTTCACTTTCATGCATTGGAGAAGGAAATGGCAACCCACTCCAGTATTCTTGCCTGGACAATCTCCGCGGACAGAGGAACCTGCTGGGCTACAGTCCATGGGGTTGCTAAGAGTCGGACACGACTGAGCGACTTCACTTTCACTTTCAATTTATTCACTTAAAGTGTAATTTTTACTGCTTTTATCCTTCACTTTTTATATTTAAAAATAAAGATACTTGATTTAAAAAAAGATTATTATTCTGTTTGTGGATGTTTTATCAAGTATTTAAGATATAAGTTATTGGGGAGTGATGTTCAAAACTGCCTACACAATTCCTTCAGCAGGCTTTCGAGGTCCTATTTCTTAACCAGCTTTTCACTTCAAAGTCGTGTGGGATTTCAGAGGTAGGAACGTTGAGGAATATGGCATTGACTTCTGCCAACTCGGGGTACAAGTGATAACAAAGTATTTGGCTTTATTTCTGAAGGATTCTTAGAGTATGAAATGGACAGTTCTGTTATTTTATGCCAGAAGCTTCATCCTCCTGATCCTTCATTTGAATGAGAGTTTGAGAAATAAATTAATGATAATTACCTAGAAAATGAATCTTACAAAAAACAAAAATCATTTTAAACTCAGAGAAGAAAGGCAAAATAATCTGATTATACTATATAGTTCAGTTGGTAATGGCATTTAAATAGTCTTAGTCATAGAAACTGAATATCTGTGTACCCTTTAATAGAAGTAAACCACACTGGGGAAAAAAAACATTGGAAGGATAGGGAGATGCAATTATGCACACATGAAGTGGGAGATGGGTGGATAAAAGATAGCTGAAGTAGTAATATTAGCATGTGATTTGAATATATGGTATTTATATATCAAAAGAAATAGCTAAAAGAGGTGAAAATTATTGCCTCTAGATTTAGAAGATAGGGGAAAGGGTATCAGGGATGGAATTGTTGGGGCTTTTTGTGATATCTCTTGTAGAGCTGTTTTAAATTTATGTCCAGGTACAAGTGATACAAATTAAAGTTTTCTCTTTTTTTTAACAGATTAAAAATTTCTTGATTAAAAAATTGAGAGACTCCTGGGAAGAACAAAATAAAGATCACGTGGGATACCATCCAGCAGAGGTAACACAATAAAATCTTATTCCAAGTCCATTTTGACTTTTGGTCTCATTATAATCATTTTCCATGTATCATTTCATTCTTTTTACACCATACCACAAGTGTCCATTTCTCCAGTCTTAGTGATAAGTATTATCAGTTTTTAAAATCTGCTAATCCAGTTCCTTTAAATGCGACTCCTTAGTTACTATTGAGTTTTAACTAGTGGGTTATTTCATTATCCATACTCAGGTTTTACAAATTCACTTTTCCCCAGCCTGGGTACCAAGAGAATAGGATCGGTAAATGAGATCATGTAGACAATATTGATGATTCCCAATAGGAAGGTGGTGAACAGTGAGCTCTGAGGATTCTGGGAAAGATAGTTCAGCCTTGAGGAAGAGATCCCAGTGGGCAAGTACAGTTTTGCCATTATAAAGGTTGCTAGGCATGGTCTGTGCAAGTGGTTCTCAAATTGTGGCATTTGGACCAGCAGCATCAGTATCAACATGGAAATGTTTTCAAAATGCAATTTCTCAAGTCCAACCCTGGCTCTAGTAAATGCCAAACTTGAGGAACAGGGCCCTGCAAACTGTATTTTAATAAGCCTTTCAGGTGATTCTGATGCATACAAAGTTTGATTACTAAACCTGCCCATTATGATCACCTGTGGAAAGTTTAAAAATTTTGATTCCCGAGTCACAACTCTCTGCTAATTGAACCAGAATGTTTGGGGCATGGGAGTCAGGCATCAGTATATTTTAAAGGTCTGCTAAAAAAAACAAAAAAACAAACAAACAAACAAAAATAAAGGTCTGCTAATGGACTTCCATGGTGGTCCAGTGGTTAAGACTGTGTTCCCAATGTAGGGGGCCCGAGTTCAATCCCTGACCAGGGAACTATAATAGAAGATCCCACATGCCGCAACTAAGAGTTTGCATGCTATAACTAAAGAATCCTGCATGCTTGCAATGAAGATCAAAGATCCCAGGTGCTACAGCTAAGACCTGGTGCAATCAAATAAACAAAATGTTAAAAAAAAAAATACACTTAAGTTCTCTTTTTAAAAAAAAAAGATTTGCTGGTGATTCCAATGTGTAGCATAGTTTGGAAAATTCTTCTCTATAATATTTTCTGTCTTCAGGGTTGGGTAGGCAAGCCAGATTTCTGAGTCTGAGAAGGATATTCTGGTTTAGATGGTGTAGCCACTTATTAGCTGGGAAAACTGGGAATGAGGGGAGATGGATCTCTGCTCAGGACAGGTCTGGGTAGCCTACTTGAGTCCAGATCAGCCTCACTGAGGTGGAGAACTGCCCGGAATCTCTCCTGCCAAAACAGCTGGAAATGACCTTCTCTTCTGGAGAGTCTTCTCCATGTCTATCCTTGTGCAGTGATTTTCCTGTTGTTTTGGGGAGGGCTTGTCTTTGTCTAAATTAGCTCTTACCTTTCATAACTTGTCTGTGTGTTGGGAGTTGTGATGGAGGGGTGTTGCATGTAGAAATGGAGAAGTCATGTGAGTTTTTAAAATCTGCTAATCCAGTTCCTTTAAATGCGACTCCTTAGTTACTATTGAGTTTTAACTAGTGGGTTATTTCATTATCCATACTCAGGTTTTACAAATTCACTTTTCCCCAGCCTGGGTACCAAGAGAATAGGATCGGTAAATGAGATCATGTAGACAATATTGATGATTCCCAATAGGAAGGTGGTGAACAGTGAGCTCTGAGGATTCTGGGAAAGATAGTTCAGCCTTGAGGAAGAGATCCCAGTGGGCAAGTACAGTTTTGCCATTATAAAGGTTGCTAGGCATGGTCTGTGCAAGTCGTTCTCAAATTGTGGCATTTGGACCAGCAGCATCAGTATCAACATGGAAGTGTTTTCAAAATGCAATTTCTCAAGCCCAACCCCAGCTCCAGTAAATGCCAAACTTGAGGAACAGGGCCCTGCAAACTGTATTTTAATAAGCCTTTCAGGTGATTCTGATGCATACAAAGTTTGATTACTAAACCTGCCCATTATGATCATCTGTGGAAAGTTTAAAAATTTTGATTCCCAAGTCACAACTCTCTGCTAGTTGAATCAGAATGTTTGGGGCATGGGAGTCAGGCATCAGTATATTTTAAAGGTCTGCTAATGGACTTCCATGGTGGTCCAGTGGCTAAGACTGTGTTCCCAATGTAGGGGGCCCGAGTTCAATCCCTGATCAGGGAACTATAATAGAAGATCCCACATGCCCCAACTAAGAGTTTGCATGCTATAACTAAAGAACCTGCATGCTTGCAATGAAGATCAAAGATCCCAGGTGCTATAGCTAAGATCTGGTGCAGTCAAATAAACAAAATGTTAAAAAAAAAAATACACTTAAGTTCTCTTAAAAAAAAAAAGATTTGCTGGTGATTCCAATGTGTGGCATAGTTTGGAAAATTCTTCTCTAAAATATTTTCTGTCTTCAGGGTTGGGTAGGCAAGCCAGATTCCTGAGTCTGAGAAGGATATTCTGGTTTAGATGGTGTAGCCACTTATTAGCTGGGAAAACTGGGAATGAGGGGAGATGGAGCTCTGCTTAGGACAGGTCTGGGTAGCCTACTCTTGGGTCCACATCAGCCTCACTGAGGTGGAGGGCTGCCCGGAATCTCTTCTGCCAAAACAGCTGGAAATGACCTTCTCTTCTGGAGAGTCTTCTCCATGTCTATCCTTGTGCAGTGATTTTCCTGTTGTTTTGGGGAGGGCATGTATTTGTCTAAATTAGCTCTTACCTTTCATAACTTGTCTATGTGTTGGGAGTTGTGATGGAGGGGTGTTGCATGTAGGAATGGAGAAGTCATGTGAGTTTTTAAAATTTGGGGGCTCTGGGATTTTGTTCTTATGGCTTCATACTCTTCCTCCAGTTTTTGGATTCTGTCTGTGGACTCTGCTTCTTCAGTAAATGACCTTTGAGAAAAACTAACTATTTTCTTGCAACTCTGAAATCATGGCTCATGTAAGTTGGTATTTTTCTCTATTTGGAATGCTGTAATTTTTTTTCAGGTTATGTGAACATTCTTATTAGTTGTCCTGAAACTTCCAAACAGATCCCCGTCCAAACAGCTTCCTAGATGTTCCCATTCTAGTGAAGGATGGAGCCAGACAGCCTGGCCCTTCCTGTGTGCCCCTCTCTTGTCCATCCATGTCCACGTGTGAATTGACCAAATTATTCAGTCTCCTGTGTGTTCAGTCTTTGTCTAGAGCAGCGATAAAGCAGAAATGAAGTCCCTTGAGGGAGACAACTGATATGAGAAACTCAGGATTGGAGAACACTTTAGAGCTGCAGTGTCCAATATTAAAAATATAAAATTAGTGCCTTCTTAGCACAGTAGGCCTCATGTCAGTCTCATAAAAAGTGTAGAATAACATGCAAGGCACGTAATCTTAAACATTTTAGTGTCACATTTTAAAAAGTAAAAACAAAATGCACAAGTAATTTTAGTGTTTTATTTAACCAAATATAGCAAAATATTATCATTTCAAAGTGTAACCAAAATAAGAATTATTGAGATATATTGCATTCTTTTTTTTTCATAAAGTCTTCAATATCTGGTGTGTATTTTATAGCACATCTAAATTTTTATTAGCTACAGTTCAAATGCTCAGTAACCACGTGTGTCTAAGATAGCAAGTTAGACATTGCAGCTTTAGAAATTTTGTNCCTTGTTGGTCACATCATTTGCAAATATTTTCTCCCATTCAGTAGGCTGTCTTTTCATTTTGTTTTCTTTTGTGCCCATCAATAGAAGATTGACGGTTTCCTTTACTGTGCAAAAGCTTTCAAGTTTGATTAGGTCCCATTTGTTTATTTTTGCTTTTATTTCTTTTGCTGTGGGAGACTGATCTAAGAAAATATTGCTACGATTTAGTGAAACTCTGATTAACTACTTGTGCATATCTGGAAGTAAAACTAGGTATACCACAGTATATAGGCAGCTTTGTGTATAGCAGTAATAGGCAAACTGCAGCTTGTGAGCCAGAGTCAACCCATGTCCTGTTTTTGCACAAGCTATGACTTAATTACTTTCTGAAAGAATTATTTTAAAAAAGAAGGGAAAGGGAAGGATACGCAGAGACAATATGTGGCATATGGCCCTATACAGAAATAAATAATTTTACAAATAAAGCATGGGTTTGTCATTTCAGGATTTGGTGATGTTCAGAGATGTGACTGTGGACTTTTCTCAGGAAGAGTGGGAATGCCTGAACTCAAATCAGAGGAATTTATACAGAGATGTAATATTAGAGAATTATAGCAACTTGGTGTCACTGGGTAAGTTATCTGTGTCAAATAATGTAGAAATTCACATGACTGAATTTCAGGCCTGACTGTCTAAAAACTAGTCGACTATCTGTTTTGTAGTTTGAGAATAGGTGCCTTCAGCTGTTAAACTATTAAATAGCACCGTTAGCTTCCCCCATAAATCACTGACCTTTACATTTTCCTTTGCCTTTTCTATTATATAATTGCTTCTCTTTAATGACAGTTGGATATAAATTCTTAGACAGAGCAAAACCATTTTCAAAGAAGTCTGTTTTCATATTGTGGTAGATGGTCTATTATCTATTAACTTACCTGCAGTGTGAGTAGGAAGACAGAGGTGTCTGCTGTATATACCTGTTGAAAAAATTGATACAGTGTATGATACTGGGTTAAATCAGTCATTTGTTGAAATTCAAGTGGACACATTCAATTTACTACAACAAACATATTATCTTTTTAATTGATTTAAACATTAACTTTTATGATTAAAAGTTTAAAATACATGAACTTTGCATTTGACATTGGATGAATATATTGGAGAGAAACAAATTATTTTCCTCCTAGCAAAATATTTAAATAAAAGCAAAAATAGCACCTAATGAACATGTATAGTGCTCAGTATGTACTAGGCATTCATCCAGGCACTTGGTTTATTAAGTGACACCTCACAGAAATCTTATGGGTATACATTGCTGCCCCTGCTAAGTCACTTCAGTCGTGTCCGACTCTGTGTGACCCCATAGACAACAGCCCACCAGGCTCCTCTGTCCCTGGAATTCTCTAGGCAAGAATACTGGAGTGGGTTGCCATTTGCTTCTCCAATGCATGCATGCATGCTAAGTCACTTCAGTTGTGTCTAACTCTGTGCGACCCTATGGACAGCAGCCCACCAGGCTCCTCTGTCCCTGGGATTCTCCAGGCAAGAACACTGGAGTGGGTTGCCATGTCCTTCTCCAGGGTATACATTATTGTTTCATATATTTTAATATATTATTTAATATATTATTACTTACTTGTGAGTATATATTATTATTTTTCCAACTGAAAAAACTTAGCCTGTAAGTGACTCAGGTGACAGAGGCAGGATTTGAAGCCAGTGCTCTCAACGATCACTTTTAGAGACAAAGCCTGTATGAATTGGCAATTATAATAAGACAATATTCCTCTCTCTCTGTTCTTGTGATCCTCAAGTAACTCTAATATGAATGTTTTTCTGTCCAATTACTCTTCTTTGTTCTGAAGCCTTGGTCAATTTTATATTTTTCTTTATTATGTTCTATTGTGGTTTTTTTCCAAGGAGGATGTTCCATTTCTAAGCCAGATGTGATTACTCTGTTAGAGCAAGGGAAGGAACCCTGGATGGTTGTGAGGGATGAGAAAAGAAGATGGAGACTAGGTGAGTAAGTGCTTATCGGGGAGGGTAAGCTACTGTGGCACAGCATATCCCTGCAGGTTGGGAAGAAACACACTCCTTAGATGTTGATTATGAAGGAGAGACGTGACACCTGAGAAGAAAACTTGGATCTCAGCATGGACAGCCAAAGAAATTTCATCTCTACTTCCACTTATCTCTTCTTTCTCCACTGTCCTATTTCCTTCTCATTTCAATGGGGGAAAGCTTTCTTCCCCAGTGACCACCATTTTACTTGTATTTTGCATCTAATTTCTACTTAGCTCATTTTTGTATTTTGCCTCTTAGGTATATATTTCTTCATTGCCTTCTTTTCATGGCGTTTACATTGTAGTAGGGAAATCGTATGGTAAACAAATGGATTAGTATCATGAAGTGATTAAATATTGTTAAGAAGAGTAAGGAGGTAAGAATATGGGGAATTATGATGGGTTAATGGGGTAATTTAGATAGGGTAGTCAGGGAAGAGGAACCAGTTGGCAGAGGTTCTTCAACCTGTAAAAGATGGAATCATTTAAGCATCTATATACATAACTGAAATGTATTACAACCACATAAAATATACTTAATTCTGTAAATTCTTTTTCCCCCAATTGGCTGTGCTGGGTCTTCATTGCTGCATGCAGGTTTTCTTTACTTGGAGTGAGTGGGAACTACTCTTCATTGCGGTGCATGGGCTTCTCATTGACCTGGCTTCTCTTGTTGCAGAGCACAGACTCTAAGCAAGCAGGCTTTAGTAGTTGTGGTGTGTGGGCTCAGTAGTTGTGGCTTATGGGCTCTAGTGCACAGGCTGAGTGATCGTGGCACCCAGGCTTAGTTGCTCTGTGGCATGTGGGATCTTCTGAAACCAGGGATCAAACTCATTTCTCCTGCATTAGCAGGCAGATTCTTGACCCAGCTGAGCCACTGGGGAAGCCCATGTTTTTCTTTCTTTTTTTTTTTTCATGTTTTTCTTAAAGTATTCAGTGAATAAATGAACGATTATAGACTTAGAATATTATCAGTTTGGAACCTGTAGTGAGCTATTGGATCTAGACACTGAACATCACTGCTGATAACATCACAGAAATAGAGACAGTCAGATTGTATTTCTTCAAATTAAAGAATACAGTATCACCTATGAAGTGGGCCTAAGTCTGATGGAGCTTCTAAATTAGCCAACCACTAATTTATTGGAGGAATAAATTTATTGGAGGAAGATAGAAAAGCATGTTATACTACATCTTGGGAATACAGTCAGAATATGAGAAATGCTATAGGGTCAAAGTGAAGAGGAACTAAAGAGCCTCTTGATGAAGGTAAAAGAGGAGAGTGAAAAAACTGGCTTAAAACTCAACATTCAGGAAAACTAAGATCCAGTCCCATCACATCATGACAAATAGATGGGGAAACAAGGGAAACAGTGACAGACTTTATTTTCTTGAGCTCCAAAATCACTGCTGATTGTAACTGCAGCCATGAAATTAAAAGATACTTGCTCCTTGGAAGGAAAGCTATGACCAACCTAGACAGCCTATTAGAAAACAGAGACATTCCTTTGCCAACAAAGGTCTGTCTAGTCAAAGCTATGGTTTTTCCAGGAGTCATGGATGGATGTGAGAGTTGGACTTTAAAGAAAGCTGAGGGCCAAAGAATTGATGCTTTTGAACTGTGGTGCTGGGGAAGACTCTTCAGAATCCCTTGGACAGCAGGGAGATCCAACCAGTCAGTCCTAAAGGAAATCAACCCTGAATATTCATTGGAAGGGCTGATGCTGAAGCTGAAGCTCCAGTACTTTGACCTCCCAAGGCAAAGAACAAGCTCACTGGAAAAGACCCTGATGCTGGGAAAGACTGAAGGCAGGAGGAGAAGGAGGCAGAAGAGCATGAGATGGCTGGATGGCATCACTGACTCAATGGACATGAGTTTGAGCAAACTCTGGGAGATGGTGAAGGACAGGGAAGCCTGGTGTGCTATAGTTCATGGGGTCGCAAAGAGTTGGACACAGTTTAGTTACTGAACAACAACAACGACAAAGTTACTGTTCATTTTTTCAGGTTTGGGTAATGGTATTACAATTATTTTTTAAATCCTTTTAGAGATAAATCCTGAAGTGATTACAAAATATATTATGGGACTTGCTTCAGACAATCTGAGGAGAGTGGATAAGGGTCTGCATAGGTCAGTATTGGGCTTGGTTGATGTTGTTAAGGCTGGTCCATAGATAACTTGTACATTTAATATTACTCTTCTACTTTTGTGTATGTTAGAAATACTCTGTAATAAAATTTTGGTTTCTTTTAAAGTTAATAGGGAGATAAAAGGAAAAGAAAGTGAGACAGTGGTGAAAATAAATGTATATAACACTTAAGAGGAATTTTGCCATAAAAGTAGACATATGGGGTACAGGGGAAGTATCTTAAGATGTGAGGTATTAGGACTTGTATGTAGTCTGAAGAGAATTATTTCAAAGAGGAAAACTGATGGCATCGAGAGAGGGTGATTTTTGTAAGCAGTGACTTTCAGTAAATGAGTAGAAGTAGGAGCCAATTTATGAAGGAAAACCAATGCATATGATAAGAATATGAACTTAAGTGGTTGGATAATGTGGTAAAGGGGAGAATAACATTTTTCTTTCCATTGCTTCTGATTCTTTGATGAAATTAGCAATAAAATTAGCAGAATGTGAAAATTATTTGGAATTCAGTATGGATTATTTAGTATGTAATCAGTTTTGACTTTCAGAAGTACAATTCTGTGGTTATAAGGTTTTAACATTTACAGATCTCTGGATACATTAACCCTGGTGTTAATGTGACTAAAACTGCTTCTGTCATAAATACTCTACATTCATATCATCTTGTATCAGCAAACTTATTGAAGACATCATCTCAGGAAACAAATTAACTTTATGACCAGGTAATTTGCTCCTTATTTTCTTTTTAATTAAAGTTGGTATCCTGCCAATGGAAATAACATTTCTCCTTTTACATTGCTATAAGATGGGCTAATATTTCGCTTTTGCACTAGTATCATTTACTAGAATAAAGCCTTTTGATTCAATAGACTACAAACTAGTATTTGGTTTATTTTGAGTAGTTAAAATATTTTGTATATGTCTTTTGATGTTTAGTTTGTCCTTTGTTTCATTGTTGGGCCAGCCAATTTTTTCTTGATTAAATCACATGTATAGTGCATAGGCTATAATTTCCAGTTTCAATTTATTTAAAGTAGAACAAGAATCTAAAGATACTTATAAAGCAATCTGTGTGCAGAGTCCTTCATGAATTTTTATGTTTCCCATCAATCTTTACTATTTTCTCACTGTCTACTCTGAAACAATGCAGTGTGCATCTGTAGTCAGAAATAGCAAAGCACTGAACCTAGTTTTGATTGACTGAAATGGCTGTCTTTTAGTTTCTTGAAGGGGAAAGAACTGGCATAAACGAATTTGGGAAAAATCATGGCTGACTTTTTACAGAAATCGTGATTACAGTTCAGTTGTTTATACAGTTGACCCTTGAACAACATGAGTTTAAACTGCATGGGTCCATTTATACATGGGTTAAAGAAAAAAAATGTGTACTACAGTACTGTGGGCTTCCCAGGTGATGCTAATGGTAAAGAACCCACCTGCCAGTGTAGGTGTAAGAGATGTGGGTTCGATCCCTGGGTCAGAAAGATTCCCTGGAGGAGGGCATGGCAGACTACTCCAGTACTCTTGCCTGGAGAATAGACAGAAAAGCCTGGCAGGCTACAGTCCATAGGGACACAAAGAGTTGAACATGACTGAAGTGACTTAGCCCACATGCACAGTACTATATGACCTGAGGTTGGTTGAATCTGTTTATGTGGAACTGCAGGAATGGAGGACCAACTGTAAAGTTATACACAGATTTTCAATGAAAGGGTGGTATTGGCCCCTATTATGCCAGTGTTCAAGGGTCAACTGTAGTATAGTCTCCTAGATGTGAATATTCAGCATGCCAAAGTCTTAATGTCTCATGTCAGATAGGGAAGCCATATAAAAGTCTCGGTTATGACCCAGCAATCCCACTCCTAGGCATATACCCTGAGGAAACCCAAACTGAAAAAGATACATGCACCCCAGTGTTCATTGCAGCACTGTTTACAATAGCTAGAACATGGAAGCAACCTAGATGTCCATTGACAGATGATTGGATAAAGAAGTTGTGGTACATATACACAATGGAATATTACACTCAGCCATAAAAAGGAACATATTTAAGTCAGTTCTAATGAGGAGGACCAACCTAGCACCTATTATACAGAGTGAAGTAAGTCAGAGAGAGAAAGATAAATATCGTATACTAACGCATATATATAAAATCTAGAAAGATGATACTGATGAATTTATTTGCAAGACAACAATAGAGAAACAGACAGAGAACTGACTTATGGACACAGGGAGAAGGGAGGAGAGGGTGAGATGTTTGGAGAGAGTAGCATGGAAACTTATATTACCATATGTAAAATAGATAGCCAATGGAAATTTGCTGTATGTCTCAGGGAACTCAAATAGGGGCTCTGTATCAACCTAGAGGGGTGGGATGGGGAGGGAGGTGGGAGGGAAGTTCAAGAGGGAGGGGACATATGTACACCCATGGCTGATTCATGTTGATGTTTGGTAGAAAACAACAAAATTCTGTAAAGCAATTATCCTTCAATTTAAAAATAAATTAATTTTAAAAAAGGTCTCAGGTTCACTGTATCCACACTGGGAGTGTTTTGTTTGTTCTTTAAAACTTTCAAATTCTATAGGGTACGTATTGTGTAACTTCTACTTTTTTTTCTTTTAAATGAGTGAATATGGACATTTTGTCCTCAGTGTGTTTATATTTTTATTTTGTGCATTGTCTGCTTACTTCCTTTCTTCTCTTACTTTTTCCATTGTTTAATTTTCTTTTTTTTTTTTTTTGTTTAATTTTCTTATACCAGTTTGTATGAGCTTTTGTTTTGTATACACTTTCTCATTTTTCTTCCCAATGTTTGGGCCTTCAGTGTTTATTTTGACTACTATTTTCCTTTAACTCATTGATTTTTAATTTACAAGTAAATTCTTTGAAATCGCCATCTTAATAACAGCTGTCATGCCTTTGTAGTTACCAAGTTATTTACTACTGTTATGACTAGCTAATTACTGTTCATTTTATATATCATTTATAACTTATTTGCCTTAATGAGGTGTTAAATTTTTTTTTCCCAGAAATTTTTACAAAATTACATTAGTTTTACATTGCTTTCTTGAATAGGGAAGATAGGGGGAGAGAGAGAGAGAGAAAAGGAAAGAGGAAGGGAAGGAAGGGAAGATGGGGGAGAGAGAAAGAGAAAGGAAAGAGGAAGAGTAAGGGAAGAAGGAAGGGACAGAGGGATGGGAGACGGAAGGAGGCAGAAGGATACTGATTTCATCATAGTGTCTTCTGTGGCATTCACTTATTTGTCTCTGCTCACAGATTATCTACAGTATTTAAATCATTGTTGCCTTTTAACATCTTTTTATTATATCCTTTTAAAGGAAACTTTTTGAAGTAGATCCAAACAACAGAAATCATAATATGCTGCTCACTGAATTTTCACAAAGCAATTATACCCAGCTAATCAGTATACTGATTCAGAAATAGTTTTAGTAGGATATCAGAAGCTCCTCTCTAGTTCTCTCCAGTCATTCCTCCCTATCAAAATTAACTAATAGCCTGACTTTTAATAAGTCCATAGATTAATTTTAGTGTTTATGAGCTTTATAAAAATGGAGTAATATATATTATTTTATGCCTGGCTTTGTTTGCTCACCCTTATGTTAGTAAGAATGATCCATATTGTTGTGTGTACTTATAGATTATTCATTCTTATTGCTGTTACAGTTTGTTCTTATTGTGTTGTATCCATATCTATATATATAACTTTTCTCAGTCATTCTTCTGTTAATGAATACTTGGATTCTTTCTAGTTCATGCATATTAAAAATAATGTTGTAGATGTTCTAAAAAAAATACATTTTTTGCTCAGAATTTTACTAGCATGTTACTATTTTATAAACCTGTTGCTATGACTAAAAAAATCACTAATATACTTTCTAGACAGTAACTAAATGGCACTGGCTATGATGACTTTAGGGAGAATATAGGAAAGGGTATGAAGAAACAAAATGAGCTGCATGTTTGTAATATTCATGTGTATAGTTAATAAACTTGAAGATAAATAAGTAGAACCTTTCATTACCTTGGTTGCAAAAGCGAGGTTCACTTACAGCTATGTAGACAGTGAGCTGAAGTGGAGATATCTGCACATGAAAGTAAAGAGGCCATTGGAGGGATGAGCAGATGTAAAGAAAATTTTCCATTTATATATTTGATTGAGATAGCATTGGTGTGCTTTTGTCTCCCATCTCTATAGAAAGTGCTAAAAAAAAGGTGTAAGATTGGAGGCAAGGAAACATATGTATTTTTACTATTAACTAATTATGAAAACTTAATAATAAATAGTTTCTCTGTGCTATGTATTTGTTATTCAGTGATAAGTGAAAGATTTTTTCTTCTCTTGGGAAATTGTTAAGGTAAGAACACAGAATAAAAACTTGGAAAATTAATGAATATATGACAACAGAATTGAAAAAAGTGCTAAGAAGCAGGGAACAAATTATTGGGATAGAAAATGAAGGATATAATTTAGATGAAGTCAGCACAGATAGTCTTTCTGATTTTTATCATGATATCTAAAGGATGAAAAGAACACAAACATGTGGAGAACCCATCAGCATTCCTGGGAGATTTAATAGCCAGTAAAAAGCTCTAAAAAATGGAAAGATTGTGACATACTTTAGTAGCTGAAAGGAGGCAAGTGTGACAGACATAGGGAGTAAAGGGGTCTACAGGTTGAAATGACATCTTTCGGTAAACAAAGGCTGTGTTATTCATAATAAAGTGTTTGTACTTTATTCTTACATTAAAAAGTTTAGGTAGAGATCTCAGACTTTGATTTTCTTCTCAATTATCTGGTCTTAATTCATCATTTTCTTTATTCTTAGCTTTTCTCAAGCTATGTTAGTTTTTAAAGTACTTTTAAGCACATTTATTTCAGCTGGACTTTATTTTCTTTTTTCCTATTATAAAGTTTTTATTTGCTTCTTTGTTTACTTTTTCTAGAAGAAAATAGCATGTGTTTTATCTTCTTTTCTTTCAGATTTGGAATCCAGATGTGACACTAAAAAGTTATTTCAAGTAAAGGATATTTGTGAAATGAGTTTCTCTCAGTGGGAGATAATGGAAAGAATTAGAGGTTGTGGCCTTGAAGACTCTTTTTTCAGGAAAGATTGTGAATATAAAAAGTTTGAGGGACAAGAGGGTCCTCACGAGGCATATTTCAGGCAAGTGAAAAAAACCACCTCTGAAAAATTGCCCAAGAACAGAAAACGCACATCTCTTACTCTGTATCCAAGAATTCACAGTAGAGAGAAGCCCTATGAATGTGGGGACTGTGGGAAGGCTTTTAGAGTACGCCAGCAACTTACTTTTCATCAGAGAATTCATACGGGCGAGAAACCCTATGAATGTAAAGAATGTGGAAAAGCTTTTAGACAGTGTGCCCACCTTAGTCGACATCAGAGAATTCATGCTTCTGACAAACTCCTTGAATGTAAAAGATGTGGAAAGATCTTCACATGTGGTGCAGATCTTCGTGTACATCAGAGAATTCATGTTGGTGAGAAGCCCTATGACTGTAAGGAATGTGGGAAGGCCTTTAGGGTGCGAGGACAACTTAATCTCCATCAAAGGATTCATACTGGTGAGAAACCCTATGAATGTAAGGAATGTGGGAAGACCTTTAGACAATATGCACACCTTACTCGACATCAAAGACTTAATATTGCTGAGAAATGCTATGAATGCAAGGAATGTGGGCAAGCTTTTCTTTGTAGTACAGGCCTTCGAGTACATCACAAACTTCATACTGGTGAGAAACCCTATGACTGTAAGGAATGTGGGAAGGCCTTTAGAGTGCGGCAACAACTTACTCTTCATCAGAGAATTCATACTGGCGAGAAACCTTATGATTGTAAGGAATGTGGGAAGACCTTTAGTCGTGCCTATCATCTAACTCTCCATCAGAGAATTCATACTGGTGAGAAACCTTATGAATGTAAGGAATGTCAGAAGTTCTTTCGTCGTTACTCAGAACTTATTTCACATCAGGGTATTCATATTGGAGAGAAACCTTATGATTGTAAGGAATGTGGGAAGGCCTTCAGACTGTTCTCACAACTTACTCAACATCAGAGTATTCATTTTGGTGAGAAACCTTATAAGTGTAAGGAATGTGAGAAGAATTTTAGATTGCTCTCCCAACTTACTCAACATCAGAGTATTCATACTGGTGAGAAACCCTATGACTGTAAGGAATGTGGGAAGGCCTTTAGACTTCATTCATCTCTTATCCAACATCAGAGAATTCATTCTGGTGAGAAACCATACAAATGTAAGGAATGTAAGAAGGCATTTAGGCAGCATTCACATCTTACTTACCATCAGCGAGTTCATAATGTCACTAAATAGTTACAAGAAAGTCACCCACTGTGAATTTTGTGTTAAGGAGCATTAGAAAAGAAATTCTGGAGGAGAAGTGTTTGAATGTAGAAATCCCTTTTGCTTCATGCTCAAAGTTAAAACAAGAGGTTTTAAAAGAGTAGGCTAATTTAATGAATACATAGCAGTGTTTTATCACCACTCAAACCATGTTAAACTTTTGGAAATTGATAGAAATTCATAGAAACTCTCTTAAAGAGTGAATGTGAAAAAGCTTTTGATCTTACTTATTACCACCTCTGTTCTTTCGTCTGTACATACCAACCTTTGGAGGTTGCCAGGGCACCAACTCATTCTGGACATTGATAAACAGAAGGAAGGAGGAATGATTTAGTCTGCATTTCCTGTATAAACTATAGCTTAAGGCAACTAGATGTTGATGAGGTAAAGTTCTTTATTAGAGAATTTGTAGGACATAATGAAATAATGGATCTAAGCACAGTTCTCAGTAGAAGTGTTAAGACCTTTAGGTGAATGGTCTATATGAACTTCCCAGTGGATAGATCAGGTTGACAACATCTGACCCACTGATCAACTTTAATCTCATCAAAAATAGGACAAAACATTTTATGCCTCCTTGTATGATACAATAAGACATACCATTGCCAAAAATATTGAACCTGAATCTAATTAAGCATCAAGATCTAACTCCCACTTTAAAGAAAATTCAGGAAACAGAACAAATTACATGATATAACAGGAAGCAGACCAATAAAATGTGGGTAATTCTATGAGAGTAATGACTATAAGCTTCTCACCCAATGAAATGGATTGAAAAAAGGGAGGTGGAACTCTCAGATGTTAACGAAGTCTTTAGAGATGTATCAATCAAATGCAATGAATTAGTGTTTTTCATTTAGATCACAGGTTGAACAAACAAAAGACATTTTTATGACAGTTGGGGAAATGGGACTGTTAACAGTATTAGATAATATTAAGAAATTATGTTCTTGTTAGATGTGCTAATAGCATTATGTTTATGTAAAAGTGTCTTGGAGATAAATTAGCAAGTTTATACACATAAACAGTATGTGTAGAATTACTGTTAAAATGCTCATGCAAAAGAAAAGTGAGGATAGATAACTTGTTTAAGTCATGGTAAGATAAATCAGTTGCATGGTTTTTGCTTATTTTGTTTTTACTATTTTCTCTATTTTCATGTATTTGAAATTTTCCATCACTTTTAAAATCATAAAGCATCTATGAAACTATAGCCAGCTTTAAGTGAATGGTGTTTGTAAATGGCTACCTATCAGAACTTATGGATGTAACTAAAGTTCTACACATAGGGATAGTAAATGTTCTGTTAGGTATTTGGGAAATTAAGATTGAGGATCCAGATTTTCTCTAGTGCAACTAATGCTACATCTCTTGTAGTACCTGTTCCCATAGTACTTCATATATTTCAGGAGTGAGTAAAAAGAGCATTTGCAGCGATTTGTGTAATCAATGGAATAGAACTGTTGTATCTAATAAAGTAGATGCTAGCAGCATGTTGAGCACTTAAAACTGAGCTACTGAGAACTGGGATGGTGGTTAGTGCAAATTAAAATGGTCTTAAGTGTAAAATACACATGAGGTTTTGAATACTTCATTCAAAAAAAGAATTAACATCTCAATTTCTCGCAGCATTTCTCTGCTGTAGTTGGGAAGCTGTGAACGTCAGTGGGTTGCATTACAACATAATACAGAACCCAAATTTAAGTGTGTTTCTGCTGTCGAGTAGCATGTTTGTTTACTGAGGCCTTCTTGGTTCTACCCTGAGTCATGCTGGACTTTTTTTTTCCCCCCTCTTCATAAAATGTAGCCTGTGTTTACAGCTGAGTCGTTTTCTCAGACTGCTTTTGGCCTGTAGATGTTTTGGCATCCAAAGGCCTTTTTTAAATTTTATACTGTTTCCCATTAAGCTCAAGCTTGCAGTGCATCAAGTACAATTCTCTTTAAGATTGTATTTTCTATGATTTTTATTAGGGTTCATTCAGTTAGACAGAAGATCAGCAGGTTCTTCTCTGTATTGGGTTTCCTTTGAGGCATCTGTGGGAAAATGACTTTAAAATTCTTAGAAACCCTGCTCTTTCACAAAAAGGATGAAAGTTGGCTTTATCTTTACCCTGGAGCCATATTTTTATGACAACCCCGCATACTTGATTGTTCCTCCCCTCTCAAGCCCATTGTAATTTTGAGAACCCTTTGCTACCTGTAAACACTGTCATGAATCCTCTGTACTGCCTTGAAATTCTACTTGAAATATGCACCAATTGATACAATGAATATAATGTGGTTTTTTTTACTCTGTTAATATGATAGATTTTCAAATATTGATTAAATCTTATATCACTGTAGTAAACTTCATTTGTCTGTAGTGTATACTTTATATATATATACACACAAACATATATATATATATATATATATATATAGCTGGATTTGCTATGATTGCTATGATTTACTAATATTTTCTTGAGGATTTTTGTGTCTACATGAAGGATACTGGTCTATAATTTTGTTCTGTTTTTTGTCTCATTTGGTATCAGGTTGATGGTGGCCTCATATAAGGAGTTTGGAAGTATTGCCTCCTTTTAATTTCTTGAAGAGGTAGTGTAGAATTAGTGTTAATTAATCTTTGAATGGTATAATTTTCCAGTGAAACCATTTGAGCCTTGCAATGGACTCAATGTGTCTCCTCAAAATGTGTTGACATCCTAAGCCCCACTGTGATGGTATTGAGATGGGGCCTCTCAAGATAATTAGGTCATGAGGATAGAGCCCTCCTAAATGAGATTAGTGCTTTTATTTATTTATTTATTTATTTTTTACATGCTGACTTTCTGCACAAAGGTTTCTTTTTATTCATAACATAGGCAAAGTTATTTAAGTCAATAAATTTTTAAGGATTTTTCACACGTCCTGATTCTTCCCAGATTAGTGCTTTTAAAAAAGGGGCTCCAGTGAGTTCTGTCACCCTGTCCTGTCATATGAGGATGACAGGACAAGAAGATGACAGTTTTCAATCTGGAAATGTTCACTAAAACAAAGTCACGAGAAGATAGTCACCAAAACTATGCTAGCACCCTAATCTCAGACTTCGGCCTCCAAGCTTGTGAGAAATAAATATGTTTATAAGCTACCCAGTCTGTGATTCTGTGTTATAGGAGCCCAAGCTAAATAGGACAAATTTGTACCAGAAATGGATGCTAATCTAACAAATATCTAAAAACATGGAAGCTGCTTTGGAACTGAACAGTGAATGGATAAAAGCTGAAGAGTTTTGACATGTATGCAAAGAATAATGAATGATAAGGGTGATTCTGGTGAAACCTCAGAAAAGGAGAGCTGAAATGAAAAACTCAGTCTTCTTGGAAAATAAATTATGAACAAAATGTTGGTAGAAATATGAATAGTAAAGACCATTCTGGTTCATCCTGAGCTGGAAATGAACGTATTATTGGAAGTGGGAGGAAGGGTCATTCTTTTTATAAGTGGCAAAGAACTTGGCTAAATTGTGTTTGTGTTCTAATGTTTTGTGGAAAGTAGAACTTTAGAGCAATGAAATTGAAAATGTGGCTTTGCTCCTTCCGGCTGATGATAATGAAGTGCAAGAAAAGAGAAATGACTTAAAAGATGGAATTTCTGAAGCAGAACCTAAAGATTTGGAAAATTCTCAGCTGAATAAATAGTGTTAAAATACTGTTAAAGTGAGGGCATAGATTGGGAAAGAATAGCATCTTGTAAGTTGGTTTGGAGACATTGGGAAGACCCTGATAATGCTGGGGCCATTGAACTCCTAAGTTTAGAGTCTGCTTTACCAGTGGAGGTGGCATCCCCATCCAGAGGCAGTATTTCCACCTCCATTTGATGGGATAGGCACTGCATTGCCTGAAAAGCATAATGATCTCCCCTGAGGCAGAGGCCATGTGACTCTTCAGAAACTGTCCCTGCTAACCCTTTTTATTTCTGGGCCCATCACTAATAGACTCAAGTCCCAGCAGACTCCTAAAGGTGAAGTTCAAAGTGTGACCTGAGAGGAGGTCTGCTACACTCGAAAAGAACTGCTTGAGTTTTCTAATTTGTACAGACAGAAATCCAGGGAACAAGTATGGGAATGGATATTAAGATGTAGAATGATGGTGGAAGGAAGATGATTGGAAATCTGGTGGCAGTGAAATGTGGGAAAGAGAAGTGTGGATAGGCTCCTCTGGGCAAAACATTTGAAGTTATTTCTGTGCTGTGTAATTGCTCACTAAAGGGTGACCTCAGCAGAGGATTTAATAATCAAGTGGATAAGATGGTCTGTTCTGTGGATAAGTTTCTTTTCCCAGTCACCCCCCATTATCATCCAATGGGCTTATGAACATAGTGGTGGCAGGGGATGGACATTATGCATGGGCTCAGCAACATGGACTTCCATTCACCAGGGTCACCTGACTGTGCCCACTGTTGGGTGCTCATTCTGCCTGCAGAGAAAAACACATAACAGGCAATGTTTTCTGAGCTTTTAACATGTGCCAGGGGCTATTCTAAGGACTTTGCACTATTAACTCATCTAACCCTCCTAACAATGCTAAGAAGTAGTATTTTCCAGTTAAGAAACTGGCACAGCCACCTTGGAAGACAGTTTGGTGGTGGTTTTACAAAAGTAAACAGACTTTTTTTTTTTTGACTATGCTGTGCAGCATGCAGGATTTTAGTTCCCTGATCAGGGATCAAACCCAGGCCCCTGCAGTGAAAGCATGGAGTCTTGACCACTGGATGGCCAGGGAAGTCCAACATACTCTTTCTTATCATACAACCCAGAAATTAAGATCCTTAAGTAGATGAAAACTTATATTTACACAGAAACTTGTACACAGATACAGCAGCTTTATTCATAACTGTCAAAACTTAGAAGCAACCAAGATGACTTTCAGTAGGTGAATGGATAAAGTGTGATACCTCCAGACAATGAACTATTCAGTTCAGTTCAGTTCAG